CCCGAATATTGGAGTCATGTGCTGGGATGATTCCATGGCATATCAGTGTCTGTTATGGACAGAAATCCTACAGAAGCATTTAATTCGTCCAGTCAGCCGTCTAATTGTTCTTCCTGAATTGACTGATGATGGTGATAGTACAGTAGTATACATTTTCTTGTATACAAATATGTTAACATATTTGGGGGTGGCTGTAGAAAATTCTGCTGTGATCTGATTGGTTGACTGAATCCTGATAAGAACACCTGTGGTCTCTTACTAATCAAGCCTCAGTCTCAATGTGTTTGTGTGTGAGAAGCAGTCTCTTTACTCATACATGGCCTGTGTGGAATTGTTGTTGACAATAAATCAACAATTACCAGCACTTGTAACCATGGAAATGTCTACTCCTACATGTTGAGAAAATAAACTGGAAACATGAGATTGATGACTGAATGAGTTTTAATGGATTCACCATTCCGGTAGCAATAGCCAAACCAGCCTAATATTCCTTCCAATTTTCTATAGTTAAGGTGTTTTAACTTCAGACCATTGCTAAAATATGAGTCCTCTGCCCATAATATTGCTTTCTCTAGTAAAAAAAAAAGTTGTCTTGTCTGAATCAGGAGAGAAATCTGCACAGATCAAGCAATGTTTACAGGCCAAAACAAATATGTGGGTGGATTTGGATGTCAGAGACAACAGGAGATGAACTTTTTCACTGGAGGAAGCGTTATTATTGATTACAGACTCTATTTTAGCCGGAAGCAACAGTTTAAAGTTAAAACATCTTAATAATGGATTTCTTTCTGATAAACACGCAGCTTTTGTCTTCTCAAGATGTTAACTGATGGACTGGAGTGCTGTGGATTACTTGTGGATTATTGTGATGTTTTTATCAGCTGTTTGGACTCTCATTCTGACGGCACCCATTCACTGCTGAGCATCCATTGCTGAGCAAGTGATGCAATGCTACATTTCTCCAAATCTGATGAAGAAACAAACTCATCCTAATCTTGGATGGCCTGAGGGTGAGGACGTTTTCAGCTAATTTTCATTTCTCAAAACCAAACAAGCACATATTTTGTGCAAGTTAAAAATAAAAATTGTGTCAAAATTCTGAAGGTAATGTTAGCTTTCTTTCCTTCTTATGGTTGTCTTTTTGGAAAGGTGCTGGTGAGAAAGGAGTGAAGGTGGAGCTAAACAAGCCGTCTGAACCAAGCTAATCAAATTATCATTAATCTGGACTTTTCTTGGTCACCAGCTGCGTGGAAAAAAAGAAGAGTCAGAAAAGGCAACGGGTGTCCGTGACGAAGCAAGAGAAAGGAGTGGAAGATTGAATTAATGGAGATTTAAAACTCTGCAGAAATCAACCACAGTTCCCAGAAAACCAGCTAATTTTAAATATGACTCTGTTGGTTTAATTTCAGTTTTAAAAAGGTACAGTACTCTGTATTACATTTACATTAATGCCTCTCATGTGACTGGAGTCACTGTGCCTCTGAGGAATGTTTAAAAAGCCTTTTGCTTTTGTTTCTGGGACGAGTTTCTGCATTTTGACCTGATCTTTGTTAATCAAACTGCACATGTTCTCTATGCATGTTATTTATTTCTCATCACTGCTTCAGTTCTGATCAGATTGTCTGTTCATATTGAAATACACCCAATGCCAGCGAGGTAGTGAACTTTCGGCATGTTTATTCAGGACTGTGAGCTGGCAGATGCATCATGGGAATGTCACGTGCAATTCTACAGCTTTACTTTCTTACATGCACTAGGTCAGTGCAAGTCCAGTATTGAACGTTATTGTCTGTCATGACCTGCACGGTATTGTCTAATTTCGACAACATTAAAGACTGTTTGCTTTATAGACATTGTTTCTCTTTTTAAAATATTCTGAAACAATTATAACAATTAGAAGTTCTGTTTGTGTGTGTGTGCTGTCAAAGTAAAGTCATATGCTTGAATTGAATTTAGCACTTATATAAACTGATTGTCATCCCTACTATTTTATTATAAGCAAGACCATCTGCTGGTATTTAATAATAAAAAAAAAACATTATTCTAGAATACTTAGTAATTTTACATCAAATGTCAGCAAAATATTTTAAATATTGAACAGCAGAATATTAAGTGGATACATTTTTTTGGAATTAGAATCATGGGGCTAAACAAAGATTTACTTAAATGGAGATCTCACTTTTTTTCTGCATTCAGCCACATAGGTTTCGGCAAGCATTATAAATAGATTTCTGATGTACTAAACGCGAGACGTTTATTGTGATCTTCAATTACTGCTGCACTAATTGTCATATTTGTTACATAGGTGTGCAGGAAACCCGTTTTTAGCAATTACTTTAAATGAGGAATAGCTACAAAAATTGAGCAACTGCGACACTTTGTGGTCACGATGGTAATGTCAAAACTTCAACAGGGTATGTGCAGAATTTTTTTAAAGTCAAATTTAAGACTTTTTAAGACCGTTTTAAAGACCTGCAATTATGTCTATACAGAACAAAACACTACAATCTCAGATTCCTGTACTCAATTAAAGAGGCTGTGACACACATTAAACAGTTATTACACTATTAAACAGGTTAACAAAAAGCAAGTTTAAAACACGTAATGAAATTAGTTCATGTAATTGGTTATGTAGCCTACTAATTCTCATACACGAATTAGTGGTCGATCAATATTGGATTTTGCCGATACGATAATGTGTTAAATAACGCAATAAAAAGATCGTGATGACGCTAGTAAAATCCATTTAATGAATCTTTTTAGTCCTTCCTTCCTGTAGCCTACAGGTCGCCCAGATAGAAGCCCCAATATTTTACATTGAATTAAATGCCACATACAGTTTACTGTGCATCCAAAATAAAAAGATATCATATCCAATGATACAACACGACAGAAACTTTGGGACTCTTGTTTTTAACGGTTTTATTAATTTGATCGATCGAACGACTCGCGGTTAATTTATAATTCTCGCAGTGCTTTGTAGCTAGGCTACTTTACTGAGCTCTAGTTTCATTCGTTTTTGTATATCCTTGTATCGAAGAAACTGCCATATGATTAGCATGTTTGTCTTTTTACAAGTAGGCTAATGTTCCATATTAACCATTTAAGAATCGACTTCACCAGAGCTGTATGTTTTAATTCCATTTTATTACACGGCTCTGTGGAATACTTGATTCTGATTGGTCAGTCGCGACATTCCGAGGTATGCTATCCCTCGATAACAACCGGTAAACGCTAATTAGCGTTATTAATAACACAGGCTCATCCGGGTAACAGCAGTCGGCGCTGTACTCTTGCTTTAACTGCCCACTGATCTACGTTCATCTTTATATAGATCAGTGAATTTGCCATTTTGATGTCATCTAGTGACATTTAGCTACCAGTTTTAGCGGGATAATGTACATCCAGCCGGTTGTTATCTCAGAATAAACCCCAACGCGAAGCGGAGGTTACATATTTTAACCCACATCTTACCTTAATATTAATTACATTGTTCTCACAGACTTCTTTCAGAACTTTCCTTAATATTACCTTAATACCTTACCTCGGAAAACCTGTGAGACTGCAGCTGCTCGCGCCGGATTATAACGGTTTTTGCTCCTTCGTGAAGCGCGCGCTCATTCAAACTTTTAAATATTACTGGAACTGTTTTAAGATAGAGGAATGCGCTAAAATACAAATTAATTAAACCCACTTTACCCAAAGCACATCAGTGAATAAATGATGACATTTTAAACATAAAATCAACCCTGCAAGAAGCTGACATGGGACAAAAATAAACAAGAGTTAGGCTACATAACATATCAACAGAAGATTGAATTTTATGAAACAAAATGAATAAGATTTAAGGTAAAATTACACTTATTTCTGAATTAATTATTGGTTTGGATTCAAACTACAAAAATTATTTGCATACATCCTAATTTATAATAGTTCAGCTGTAATATTTACCTTTGGCTTTAAAACAGACCCATAACCCATCTCACAATTAGGCCTACTGATTTCCAATGGTACATTAACATATGTCAGTGTTATTGATTGGATATCTGTATAATTTATGTTTTGACATTACATAGTTTCACTGTTGCATTGCTGCCCAGTGAGAACCCAGGATAGAGAGGTTGTGTGAATGTGGTCTGGACTTTATGAATGAGGGTAATTGTGTCAGAGACGCTGTAGAAGGACAGAATTCCTGCACGGTGATCCACATACACTCCTATTCTAGAGGAGCTTGATGCTACGATGAGTTTAGTCTTTATGTTATTGTGCAGGAATATGTATTTGGGGGGAGAACACAACAATATCCAGGACTGATTATTATGTCCAAACTTACACTCATTGCCACGTCCCTTCCTACTGATGCTCTTATAGGACACCGATACACCCAAACGTTCACTCTGACCGTAGTCAACTTCCCAGTAACAGCGTCCAGACACACTCTTCGGCGCTGTACTCTTGCTTGAACTAGTTTTTCTTGGTGGAAGCTTTGCGTTTGTTTAGCTAATAAAATATTAAAACTCCATTCAAAATGGTGTACAATTATTTAATTATGTCATCCTGGTATAGCTCGTGTCAGTGTTGCCAATTTAGCTAATTTGTAGCTAGATTTAGCGACTTCCCTGCCCCTTTTGAGACTTTTTTCAAAAGTTTAGGGACAAATATAGCAACTTCTTGGACAAACCTTATCCAATTTCTCATCTTGCCCACTGATCTACGTTCATCTTTATATAGATCAGTGAATTTGCCATTTTGATGTCATCTAGTGACATTTAGCTACCAGTTTTAGCGGGATAATGTACATCCAGCCGGTTGTTATCTCAGAATAAACCCCGACGCGAAGCGGAGGTTACATATTTTAACCCACATCTTACCTTAATATTAATTACATTGTTCTCACAGACTTCTTTCAGAACTTTCCTTAATATTTGTGAAGTAAAAATACCTTACCTCGGAAAACCTGTGAGACTGCAGCTGCTCGCGCCGGATTATAACGGTTTTTGCTCCTTCGTGAAGCGCGCGCTCATTCAAACTTTTAAATATTACTGGAACTGTTTTAAGATAGAGGAATGCGCTAAAATACAAATTAATTAAACCCACTTTACCCAAAGCACATCAGTGAATAAATGATGACATTTTAAACATAAAATCAACCCTGCAAGAAGCTGACATGGGACAAAAATAAACAAGAGTTAGGCTACATAACATATCAACAGAAGATTGAATTTTATGAAACAAAATGAATAAGATTTAAGGTAAAATTACACTTATTTCTGAATTAATTATTGGTTTGGATTCAAACTACAAAAATTATTTGCATACATCCTAATTTATAATAGTTCAGCTGTAATATTTACCTTTGGCTTTAAAACAGACCCATAACCCATCTCACAATTAGGCCTACTGATTTCCAATGGTACATTAACATATGTCAGTGTTATTGATTGGATATCTGTATAATTTATGTTTTGACATTACATAGTTTCACTGTTGCATTGCTGCCCAGTGAGAACCCAGGATAGAGAGGTTGTGTGAATGTGGTCTGGACTTTATGAATGAGGGTAATTGTGTCAGAGACGCTGTAGAAGGACAGAATTCCTGCACGGTGATCCACATACACTCCTATTCTAGAGGAGCTTGATGCTACGATGAGTTTAGTCTTTATGTTATTGTGCAGGAATATGTATTTGGGGGGAGAACACAACAATATCCAGGACTGATTATTATGTCCAAACTTACACTCATTGCCACGTCCCTTCCTACTGATGCTCTTATAGGACACCGATACACCCAAACGTTCACTCTGACCGTAGTCAACTTCCCAGTAACAGCGTCCAGACACACTCTCTCTACACAACACCTGAACTACAGAAACAAATCTGTCCGGATGATCAGGATACGGCTGGTCTGTATGAGTGCTAGTAATCGTCCTGCTCTTATCAGACAGACTGATGTTTTTATTAGTCGTGTTTGGATCCAAAGTGAACTGATGGAAATCTAAAAAAAATATAAGCAGATAATCTTTCATTATTTGGAACATAATCTTGTTTTTATTAGATATACCTGTATTTAAGATCCAAGGGTTTCAGAAATTCCCATTAGGATTTCAAGAGTTAAACTTACATCCCAAGTATTCCACTCTGGTCTCAAAATCAGGGCCAAGAATGATCTGAATGTGTTTCACTATAAGAAAACCAAAAGACATCTGATGTTTAATTCTCACGTTGAGAGAAAAATGTATACTAAACCATTAATGCTGTATGAACATCAATGAATAGATGAATGTCTGATAATTTACCAGTACCAGATATGTTGTCTATCTGCTCTCTGCAGTATTGAATTAGTTGGTCTCTGAGTTTAGAGACAGATTTCCTGACATCGTCAAAAGAGAGGACAGAACTGATGATGATTCTGGGTAATTTTGTAGATCCAGAGAGAGAGAGAGACTGGAAACTCTACACAGACAAACAACAGATAAAACAGAAATACTTCACCCAAAAATGAAAATTCCCCAATCTGAAGAATCACCTCAGAGCAACATAATTCATAATAATGACTGCCATGACCCAAATTCGATTCCGTTACCTGGAGCAAATGGATGTGATCATCCGTGTCTGAAAGCTGCTTCAGTTCAGCCTCACTCCTCCTCAGATCCGTGATCTCCTGCTTCAGTTGCTCCAGTCGTTCTTCAGCTCGACTCACTGAAGCTCTTTCCTGAGCTCTGATCAGCTTTGTCACCTCAGAGCGGCTTCTCTCAATGGTGCGAATGAGATCAGAGAAGATCTTCTCACTGTCCTCCACTGCTGCCTGTGCAGATCGCT